CTTCATTAATAACCTGGAAAATGGCATGTGACCCTCACAAGTTTGCAGATGATACCAAGCTGGGGGGAGTAGTTGATATGCTGGAGGGTAGGGCTAGGATTTAGAGACACCTAGACAAATTGGAGGATTGGACCAAAAGAAATCTCATGAAGTTCAGTAAGGACAGGTAGAAAGTCTCCTGCATGTAGGATGGAACAACCAATGCAGGCTGAGGACTGACTAGTTGGGCAGCAGCTCTGCAGAAAAGGACCTGGGGTTACAGCGGACAATAAGCTGAATATGAGCCAACAGTTGAATAAGCTGAATATGAGTGCCTTTGTTGCGAAGAAGGCTAATGGCATCATGGGCTGCATTAGTAGGAACATTTGCTAGCAGATTGAGGGAAGTGATTCTTCTCTCTTTTGCATGGTGAGGCCACATCTGGAGTACTGTGTCTAGTTTTGGGTTCCCCACTACAGAAGACATATGGTCAAATTGGAGAGTCCATTGGAGGGCAATGAAAATGGTTGGGTGGCTGGGGCACATGACTTTTGAGGAGAGGCTGAGGGATCTGTGCTTATGTAATCTGGAGAAGAGAAGACTGAGGGGGATTTAATAGCAGCCTTCAACTACCTGAAGGGTGGTTCCAAAGAGGATGGAGCTAGACTAGGGGTGGGCAAAATGGTGGATTGTGGCTGGACTTTCATTTGCAAGCAGCCTCTGCCTGAGCCGCTGTGGCTGGGTTTCATGGAGACCACAGCAGCAGTGGCGCTGTGACAGTGCGGGATCAGGCTTTCCATGAAGAGCAGCTCCAGCAACACTGGCAGGGTGTGTGGCAGGGTGGGGAGCTGCTCTGTGACCAGTGCTGGGATCTTGCAGTGGTGACTGTGGTCTGGAGCATGCAAACAACAGATTGCAGCTCTGCCCCGGCTTTGGACCCTGCTGTCACTGCCACAAGATCCCAGCCCCAGAGCAGCTCCCTGCCCAGCTGTGTGCCCTGCCAAGGCTACTGGGGTTGGTCTCCATGGAAACCAGCTGCAGCCATGCGGACAGGGACTGCTGGGAAATGGAGTCTTCCACAGGCCCGATCCAGCCCATGGGCCAGACTTCGCTCACCCCTGAGCTAGACTGTTCTCAGTGGTGGCAGATGACAAAACAAGGAACAATGGTCTCTAGTTGCAGCAAGGGAAATTTAGATTAGGTATTAGGAAAAACTTTCTGACTCGGAAAGCACTGGAACAGTTTACCCAGAGAAGTTGTGGAATCTCCATCCTTGGACGTCTTTAAGACTTGGCTAGACAAAGCTTTGGCTGGGATGATCTTATGGGGGTGGTCTCCCTTTGAGCAGGGGGTTGAACTTCAGGAGAGATGTGGACAACATTGAGAGGGTCCAGA